ACATACAAATGATTTGAGGATTCATTTCTTATTCTCTGCTGCCTCAAAGGAGCTCATCTCCTTATGTCTTGCTTAGTTGACTATGACAAACCAGCCAGGTATGAAAGTCACCTCTTTCAATGTTAAACACAGAGGAAGCTGAAAGATTTCTAAGCAGCATTCATTTCTCAAAATGCTGCCTTTTCTTTTCTTTGGCATCCTATAAGTCCAGAAACAGGCTTTCTTTTTTTAACTAGAAAATGACATTTGAATGAAATTGTTCTTTTATGAAACAGTACTGATTTTGAAAATGCTTCCAGTGAAAAACAATGAAGCGAACATGACCTTTCTGAACAAATACATTCAGAAAAAATAAATGTGAAGTTTCAAGATGAAACTTTTGTTTAGTTTCTTGCCTCTTCCACACCTATTATTTGTACTGCATGCCATGCTGTGTCCCTAGTAGTGCATAACATGACATGCCCTCCCATTAAGTACTGTTGATCATTATAGGACAAAAAATAAAAAAATATTTGAAAATTAAAATTCCATTTTGAAATCAAATTGGACATTTCCCCCTCAACTGACATAGTACAAGCAGAACTTTTGGGGGTATCTTATTCAGAATGAAAAGTATTTTCAAAATCCTGTCATGTCCTGCAAAATGGAAATTCTGAGTTTCAGACACTTCTGCTTCCACAAGCCTCAACCTCCTTTTCCATGATAATACAAACTTTAAATCCAAATGCAAATCAGAGCTATCAGCTAATTATCTCTCAGGCCTGTTCTTCACCTCCCTTCTTCCCCCTTTGCAAACGAGAACATAATCCTGCTTTCCTCTACTGAGCTACTTTTAAAAAACGAAGGCACTTAATCCAATCCCTCCGCTATTTGTGTGCTAATTCTACAAGTATTATTAAGCAGTAAAAACCTGCATGAAGATTTATGATAGACCTACACTTAAAACGGTTCCTACCATGTGCCACCCTCATTCCACTCTGCTGCAAAGACCCTTCTTGAGCCTGCCTCAGTGCAGGGGGGGATGGACTAATTGACCTTTTGAGGTTCCTTCTAGCCCTGCATTTCTATGATGCAATGCAAGACAAATGTTTCCATTTCCCTCCTAAATGCCCACATTCTCCAGTGCTCTTTTCAAGAGACAAGAACAAAAACCCAAGTGCCACTGAGTGCTGAGATTTTGAAACCTGCTTCCAACCCACACTGGACTGACCCCCCCTCCCCCAAATACTTGTGGACATTTTCACAGGGTGGATGTGGATGTGTGGAACTGGGAACAGGGGAGTGGGGACAGAGAGTGCACTGGCTTGGCCTGTGGAAGACCCTGGCTCAAGGTCCTGCCCTTCCAGAGTTGAAGTGATGAAGGACTTGAACCTGAACCTCCCACATCCCAAGCCAGGTTCAGAAATACAACTTGCACTCCCTCCTTTGATGCAATTCTTTCTCTCTCTCTCTCTCTCAAAAAAAAAAAAAAAAGCTTGGTTGCCAACTTTTATGGAACCACTACCTCTCTGTAAAATACTTGGACAGAACAGCATATCTTGGTTCAAATGTCCTGACCAACTCTAAGTCCACACAACAAGAAGTCAACTTCCATCCAGCTGCCAGTCCTCTCTCTCCTCTGTGTTGACCACTTCTCTGACCCAACACTTCCAAGTGAGGAAGCCCTCTGATGCTGGCTTCTCCAACCCTGTCTGTCTCAACAGTCTTCGTGCACCAGCTGTTACTGGCTAGAGAGAAGAACGCCTGTAAAAGGAGAGTAAGAAGTACAAGGGTTCCTGTTCCTCTTCCCTCACCCGAGATCTCATCAGGGTGCTCATCAGGATCTGGGGGAACGTCTGTTCACCAGAGCACCCCAAGGGATTACAAGGTTGAATGGTCACAAACTCCACTGTGACTGTTTCAGGCTGGACATAAGAAAGTACTTCTTCACTGTCCGAGCCCCCAAGGGTTGGAATAGACTGCCGCCGGAGGTGGTTCAAATCACCCACTTTGAATGCCTTCAAGACACGTTTGGATGCTTATCTTGCTGGGATCCTATGATCCCTGCTGACTTCCTGCCCCTGGGGCAGGGGGCTGGACTCGATGATCCTCCGGGGTCCCTTCCAGCCCAAATGTCTATGAAATCTATATCCCTGGTTGGTGCATGCCTTCCTTTGCTACCCATTCTACCAGGAATGCCTTATACTACGTGATGCCCAATTTCCATCGCCTTCTCCAAAGCTTTCTCTTTTTCACCGTCTCTTCATTTGTGACACCTGCCACTTGTACTAATAAGAAAGAAGCTAATGCAATGTACACAATGCAATAATTAACAACTTTGCTTTGTATCACCCCTTTCTCCTTCATGCCTAACAGTCACTTCTCCCCTCCTATCATGCCATACAGCTGCCAGGAATCTGATCTTGATGCTTTGTGCAAACCACTATGGACAGCTGTGCAATTGATAAATTGACACACAAGAATCTGAAGCAGAGAGCCAGGCTGAGCTAAACACCACCTACTAGGTCAAATTGGAAAATTTACAGCAAGGATAAATGTGCCTTGTTCAGCAGAGAGACATATTTGGAGCATCAGAATTTACTGCCACACGCTCAGGGGTCTGCACATTGCGTGGGGCCCTGAGCAATAGCATAGGCCTACAGCCAACTCTGAAGAAAAATGTTTTCCTGATTTCAAGCCTTCTGGGACACACTTACACACCTGAAAAACCCATCACTTCTTTGCTGAAGTCACTGTGAGCACAAAGGCATTTTAACAACTTTTCACTGAGTCGTTGGTGCACAAAACAAAGCTGGCAGAGTTGGGCAGTGGGAAACCCCTGCATGCAGTGGTAACAACAGCTTTCAGTAGCAAGATCTTGGATTTACAAAAATTGCTTGAAGAACCTCCAAGCCCCTACGTCAGATTTAAAGCCAAATTTGATTTTTCCATTTAGAAGCTGTCATCTTTAAGACAAAATTAAATGCTGCACATATTAGCTGCACTAAAGGGAGAAGAGTGAAACACTACTGGCCCACAAGTCAACTCCTGCTTCAAGCAGATGAAAGAAAAGACATCAACTCATGTCTAGATGTATTGGGGAAGCCCTGACCCATAAGTTTGAGATACAGCTGGCTGACATTTTGAGGGAAACATTTTTACTTAGGTAGATGTTCCCATTTCCTACAAAGGAAAACCTTTTCAGTTTTCTGGTGAATTTTTCCTCCTTCTTCAGAGGAAGGTGGGAGGGGTAACCTAAGGCAGGTATAGTTTCATCTTTAGAATTAGCAAAATATGGAAAAATTTCCCCAAAAAATAATTGAATGAAAAAAATCAATTTTTTTTAAAGCAATTTTGAAGAAAACACAGCTTATTTGGGGGGCTGGGTTTAACCACACTGGGTTTTCCTAGGCCAAGCCATACCTCCTGCGGACTGGCTGGGGTTGATACTTTTGTTCTGTGCTCTCTAGAGTTGGTCAGGAATAAACACCTCGTTTGTTGTAACCTGTGTTGTGGGAAACAGAAAGGGAGGTTTCGAGCCCCTTCATTTCTTGTTCAGACCAGAGACTTGAACCTGTGTCTCCAATGTCTCAGGTGAATGCCCTCCCCCATCCCTCAACCTACTGGCTACTCTGTTCTGGGTGCATCCTTGTCTCATGAAAACTGTGAAACGTTATGGGTTCACCCTAACAAGAGAAAATCCAGAAAGTGTTTGCAGGTTAGGAAAACTGTTTCCGTCCTAGCTCTCATACTCTCTTCTCAGGTTTTCTTTCTGAAACCATGGTGATGAACACCTAATGAGCATTCATACAATAAATTTTGTCTGGGGAGGACAGACCGAGTATAACGAACTTAGCAACTAGGATGATTTGGGTTTTTTTAGCATATATAGCTGTCACCATTTGAAAGCCACCCAGAGCTGTGATGCCATTGCGTGGGAACTCTGGGTATAGGGTGACAGTTTAATAACAATTACTTCAAATCTGAATAAATGTACAGTCATGAAAAACAGCTGTTGGCAGAGAAAAACTAGATGCACTCATATTATTAACATCAAAAGCATATCACTCAAAACCCTTGGTTTCGCCTATATGTTGACAGTCCAAGCCAGCTTTTACTGGCCATAGTAATCCAACAACTGAGCTGAGATCACATGTATGTTGACTGTTACCAGTACAACTAGGAGATTTTTTTTTGGATGAATAGTGAATATAAATAATGAAAGAGGAAAAAAACAAGAGGGGAAAGAAGAGTGAGGGGAGAGCAGGCAGCACGTGCTCTGGGCTATGGTACTGGAACACAAGGAAGACCCCATTTACCAATCACCAAGGGGGCCTGCAACTAACGGGTCAATGGAGGGCACTTGACCATCAGGACACTTGCTCACTCTGTGCTACTGGAAACCTCAAATAATGCTTTGGCTAAAGTAAGCATTAGGAATAGGTGGAACTGCTCAGAAATATTTAGGGATGTCCCAGGGCCTCCAGCACTTCTCAGACAGCAAGGAAACAGCAGTAGCTTGTGCTGCAATCATTGCCCATTCTCCTAATTTGTAGTCATCATTTCCCTTCCTTTGTACCCAAGAGCCAAACTAACTCCCTCTGCTCAGAGCTGTATATGCATCCTTTCTTCCATGATCATGCATCTACCAGAAACGGTGCCACAAGGGTTACAGGCCTAGCTGTTCTGAAGCGGAGTGAGCACAGCTTGGGGGAGGAAGGAAAAGGTGAGTGTCTGGGCTGCAGCAGAATACTCTTCCTGGCATTACTGGCTGCTTCCTGTAATTATGGATGACGGCAGAGTAATGGCAAAGCAGACCATGGGCTAAAGGGTGAAAGCCTCCTGAGCCCACCAAATACTAACCCAGGAGACAGCTTTCCAGTATCTCAACTTCTCTTTCCCCAAACCCATGTACTTCTCACTGCTTTATTTATTCCAGTCCTGTATAAAGAACTGCCCTCATTATTCCCTTGAAAGCCCTCCACCTGCCCACCCTGACCTGCACACACTTTCCCACTTACAGGCAAACCTGGTGGTCCCTGTGGCCCTGTGGGTCCTGGTTTCACTCGAATCAATTGCCCGTCACCAGTCCTCTGATCACGGTCTACAGCGGTGCCATCTTTTGTGTCACTCCCAGTAGTCCCTTGATGCACAATCCTTTTTTTATACCGTGTGTGGACCAGCCTGGCATCCAGTGGTGTCTGGGGTGGATTCAGAGCATCCTTGGGGCTTCCAGAAGCTTTGGAGTGGTTTTCCAGCATGCCTCTTCCCACTGGTACCTCTATCATCCCATGGGAGATGGAAGAGAGAAGTCTGGGCGTATTTCCCGAAGAGGCTGCTGTCTCGCTTTCCTCTATAGACACTCTGGAGAAAGTAGAAGACCTGTCAAGGTCTACGATGGTATCAACAGGTTTGCTGGGTGAGAATGAGGTCCAGATGCCCACGTCTCCCTTCAGCTTTTCCGTGGTGATATTCTCATCTGTGGTTTTTGAGACAAGCTGTTTCTTAGAAGCCAATCTATTTACTTTAATGGAGGCTGCAGGCAGATTCAAATCCTCATTGGCCACCTGAGCATCTTCAGGTGCAGTGGGAGAAACAGAGGTAACTGAGGTAAGAGACTCACTAGTATTGCTTACTTCCTTCAGGCTGCTCCTACCAACTCCAGGCCTGCCAGGCCCTGTGATTTTATTGTACGTGTAGTTCAAAAGCTCAAAACCTTCCTCCTCAATAGAAAGATTTCCTTCATCCTCCTCCTTGACAAAGGGCCTCTTAGTAGCAGTGGCTGATGTGAGGGCGCTTCCACTGGATTCTGGGCTCTGGTTCTTTTGTGGATCTTCCCACACCTGGGTTGGCCTCAAGGCCAAGTCTGGATTGGTAAAATTTGAGCTCTGAAAGGAGGGGGTAAAAGAGAACAAAGGAAATTTTACATCATTTTAATCAGGCAAGATATTCTCTGTCAAGACACAAGGTACTTAGAAAACATTTCCTATTGCCACCCATTCCAGAAACAACCCCTGCTTAATAGCTCATAGGGCCTTTTCTTTTTGGTCTATGAAGAGACAGGCACCAGATACACCTGAGGTGTGAGGCGGGTAATTAATTGTTCGCTTACCTATGTTTGTTGCAGGGTGGTTTAATATAGGGGATGCATTCATTTTACCCTAATTTAAGAGGAATATGGAAATTATCCTTAACTAGGGATTCCTGCCCCATGGTCCTTCCATAATCAATTCACACATTTTTCAAAGATTACCAAGACTGTCCAGAGCACTGGCCCAAAAGCTTCATTCTGGTGATATTCTAGGCCATAAACGTAAGCGTGAGATGCATACACTTCTTGCATTAACCTCAACCTAAACTAAAGAGTAAAAACAAGAGCTACAAACACACTTGAATGCCTCATTAGAGGGGGAAAAGGAATGAGGTCAGAAGTTTTGTAGATGGATATCCAACCCTGGGGGAAGCAGATTTAACAGAAATCCATGGAAGTTGCACTTGGGACTCTGGGAACAATCTGGCCCCAAAGTCTTTGCAGAAACTGCTTTCAAAGCACTTAGAAGCTCCCTTGCGGCCTCCATGCACTCACAAAGAGGTATGTCTCAATCAAGGATAATTTGGTAAACTACCAGACTCTACTCTGAACACTTCCTGCCACATATAACAACAGCTGGAATAACTCTTCAAGCAGCAATTCTCCTTTGGGACAAGGAGAAGAAGATGGAAAGATAAGGGAAAGAATAACTTCTTGGACACTAGGGGCAAAGTAATGAATTTAACATAGCAATCTGCAGTCTTCATTCTACCCTAGCCTATCATATTAAATGGCACCTTTAGGACAACACAACTAGCAACTGCTCTTGCCATGCTATTGTACAACAGAGATGGAGACCAGGCACATGCTCCTGCCCTACAGAAAGCTGGTGAGGGGAGGGAAAGAAGATATCACAACATTAACAAAATTCTTTGGAAAGAAAGAAAAATCTAAATTTAAAATCTAAATCTAAACTCCATTTAATTTAAGTGCATCAGAATGTGTAATCCATTTTACACCAGTGTTATTTTAACTTACTCAAGTTAGGCCAAGAGTGATGTCTGAACCCAGGACTTTCAGCATTGAACGCATGAGTGGCCGTGTCTACACAAGATGCTTTATTGCGCAGTAGACTAATCTACTGTGCAGTAAAGAGTCACCATCTACATGTGTAGGCATTTACTGCACAGCAAATTAGTCCACCGCACAGTAAATTTACTGCGCAGGAAACCCAAATAGCTTTAATCGCAACTGTAGACACACCCAGCGTCTGCTACCCGAGGTTGACTCGCTCCTCTGGAAAGAACAGCCGATATTGCATCCTTGTTCTCTCCTCACCAGTTTGTAGCCATATAGTGTCTCCTCTGTTACGTAGAGATTATGAATGCTTTAGAAAGGACTTTTTTTTTTGTTCAGCGTTTGGACAAGGCCCAGCATGGAGTCCACCTATTCCAGGATTGGAGCTCCTCTGTACTACCACAATATAAAAAGTCATCTTACAGCCATCATTAGAGAAGACAAACGCCCACAATTGCCTAGAGTGGCTGAGCATGGCTTATATTATTGTAACATTAAATAGAAAGGGAAACAACATTAGCTGCTCAAACAAAATGTGTTTGAACCCATCTATTTAATTGCATCTGCCAGGAACTTGCCTTTTTAAACAGAACTGGCTACTATTACTATTTGGTCCAACTGTTTTCCAAGTCCTGAGTAACAAGATTTTCTAATTTGGAAAGGCTGCTTTTTTTTTTTTTTTTTCACACAAGTGTGCCAAAGCAGCAAAATAAGGAGAGGAAACATATAAATTAACCTCTAGAAGCTATAGTTCCTCCTTTAATATATGAAAGGGGCTGGGGTGGGGGTGAAGAATAAGAGGGAAAACAGACTTCCTTCCCCATGCATTTATCGCTCCTACAGCTGTTCAAACAGGTATGACCTCAGAAGAGTGGTGGTAAAAATCAAAGTAGAACCAAAATCTTGGTGCTACATTCATACATCATACCCACCTGTCTCCTTTTTAAAATCCCATTTTAGAGTCCATGAGGACTCTCTCTTCTTCAAAGAGGTGTAAACACAGTAGTGCTCTGGTAAGGCAACTTCCTGGCTTAAGAGAACGCACTGAAGTGTCACCAATATGGTTGGCTTGGGTAAACTGAAACATTTTGGTTTTGAAGCAATCAATTTCAATTGTCCAACGTTTACGCTATTAGTATTAGCTGCTTTCATTTCCAAGAAAAACCCCATTTCAATCAGAAGGTGAATATATTTTGTCTTGAAAGTGTCAACATGAAAATCTTGATCATTTCTATTTTCCCCTACAACATGTAGAGTGGGAAAATTTCTCTAAATTGATTCTTGCCTGTGAAAAGCTCTTGTTTCAACAAAAAGGCATTTCCCTTAAAAATTATTTCACCTAATATGTTCTTGTTACCTCTAATTCTGGATACGAATCTCACCTCGGGTATCTTTAACCCTAGCGTAATTCCACTGACCTCGCTGGAATGGCTCCAATGTTTATGCCCTCAAACACTAAATGCATCCACAATATTAAGCCACGTGTGATGCGCTCGAATGTTTCCTACACATACAACATATACAACATGAATGTAAATAGGGGGGGAGAATGTTTCTACTGAGATAGCTCCTGGGAACACAGAACAAGTTCGGTTTTGTAGCCATTTATTATCCTGAAACATGCTATTATAGTAGTAGTAAAAGATATATTACAGTACTTGTAACAGTAGCTAAGGAGGCAAAAGCTGTAATGCAAGGTAGAAACAAAGGGGGCCAAATATAAGGCAAATAAAGGCTTAACACGAGTAGACCTTAATTTGAAATAAGGCTAAATTAGTAAAGGTGACCAATATTTAACATTCAGTCATAAAATGAACACTAAGGTGGTAAATGAATAACTAGGGTGTCATAATAAGCAGGGATCTGGGTTTTTTGTTTGTTGTGGAAAAACACAGATTTTCTCTTTCAAAGGAGAAAAATACAGATTTGTCTATTTTAGGGAGAAAAACACAAATTCCTCTCCTTTAAAGGAGAAAAAATGCAGGAAACGGTGGGTTTCCCCTTGCAGGCTGGCAGAGTTACAATTTGCAAGGGTTTGCTTAGGGGCGGGAGTGGGCACCATGGGGGGCACCATGTGCATGTGAGTGCAACATGCATGTGGCAGCCAGGCAGTGTGGAGAGCAGCTCCCACAGCTCCCTCCAGGTACACCTATGGGGGGGGAAGGCAGATTAAGGCCCCATGGCAAGGGAGGGAGGGAGGCAGGGCTGGGGGTGCTGCCCCGCTGGGCTGGTGTATGGAGCCTGGGGCTCAGGCGGGAACACGGGGCCTCACTGGGGGAGCAGGACAGAACCATGGGCGGCTTGTCCAGGGGATGGCGGAGTGTGGGTAGCAGCTCTCCATGCTGTGCACACTGCCGACGAGAGGGGCATTGGGGGGGGACATGTGCCCCCCAGATTTGTGCGTGGGGAGGGGGTGGATGTGGGCTGCCCGCTGTGGGCTTGGGGGCTCCCCACTCTGCTGCCCTCCCCCTGGGGGCCTCTGCAGGCCAACAGGTGGGACTTGGCACAGAAGAGCAAAGCAGAGCGGGCAGGCTTCATGCTGCCATCAGTAGCCCCAAGCTGCCTGCACTTCCATGGCGAGGCACCCCCTGCCCACCCAGCAGCAGTGGGGAATACAGCTCCATGCTGTTGCTGCTGCTGCTGCTGTCAGGTGGCCAGGGGACACCTTGCCATGGCAGGGTGGCTGGTGCGGGGCTCTCAGTGGCACCACCAAGCCTCCCACCCTCCTGTACCAGGTCCTGCATGCTGGGTTGCAGAGGCCCCCAAGGGAGGGCAGCAGGGTGGGGATCCCCTAAGTTCACAGCGGGCAACCCACATCCTCCCCACACCCACAGGCTCCACTTCAGTCATGCCACCCACGGCACCAGTGGGGGGTGCTCCAGTTGCAGCAGCCACCGCCTCCTGTAGGCAGCAGCGGAACTCAGCAATTGCTGGGGGGGTGGGAGTCGGCGGGCTGCAGGCCCTGGCCCTGGTCCTGTAGCTCTGGCAGCTGGGAGCCCACTCTGGCATGGTTGGGGGGGGGGGCAGGGGGCTGCAGGTCATGAGTGAGGGGCACCAGCAGTGCTGGGGAGATGGCAGGCTGTGGGGTGGGGAGTGAGGGGCATTGGCAGGGCCAGGGGGCTGTGGGTCAGGAGGGAGGGGCAGAAGCAGGGGCAGGACACCGGCATATCAGGGCTGCTCAGCTCCACAAAACAGTAGGGGAGAAAGCCATAGCTGGATCTGTGTCCTGGTGAGCGAAAGGGACAGGAGGAACTCTGATTTTCTGTGATATAAAAACCAAAATCAAACACCAAAATATGTAAGAATTTAGAATTTATTTTATTATAATGATTGAGGCACTGATAGGCTTCCAAAATCCTTTCAAATTGTTAATATATCAATAAAACATTGTGTTCAACTGATACCTATATAGATAGTTAGATATGGATATAGTGGCATTTCATTTTAATCATAGGAAAACATGGTTTTGGGGTGTTTTAATCAGAGAATTTGGGGTGGGGTTAGCAGGGAATTTACGATTTTTAAACAGAGAAAGCCAGGATCCCTGATAAGCTATACACATTTACAGAACAGGCATTTCTTTCAGTTTTAGAACAGTTTGGGGAAAACAAAGATATTGAACATTGCAATTTTTAACCATACTTTGCCATGGAAACCTGCTGACTTATATGCTAATGAGCCAATTATGTTCTCAGTAGATATCCTTTGAAATTTTAGGTATTTTTAAGATTTGTGAGGAGAGAAAGTGTCAAAGAGCACAAACTAATGCATATGTAAATT